AAAAAAAAAAAAAGGAAGAAGAATCTGAAAAGTTAATTTAGCGAACCTTTTAAAATCTTCTCGGAAGAAGAAACGCGATGATGGTATCTGTGTGGATGGTATCAAAGCGAATGAAAACTTATGCCGTTATGAAACATTTTTCCTCATCATATTTAACACCTACTCGACACCGGATGTGTAATCTCTTCTTTTATTAAGGAGTCTGAAAGAGGAAAAACGAGGTTTAAAACGAGAAAGATTGATGACTTTTTTTTTAAATTAATTTTTATCTGCTTCGGTCAGTTTTTCCTATTAATATTAAGAAACTTTCAAAGGATGATAACAAAGGATAGGGTTACAAGAACGATTGAACATCCTATACATTAATACCTACGCATCTAACATAATACATTGAGTAATACATTGAATCTGTATACCGATGGAACTGAACGATTGAAGTAGACAGCATCGCGAGAGTTGTCTCGATATAAAGGTTGAAACCGGCTAATGGTCGATAATGGAACTGGCTGAATGGAAGCATAACCAAATTATGCTGTCGACTGGCTGCTCGTGATCCGGAAAACAATATTCATGGGAAGGGAAATATACGTCATTACACGTATTCGACGAAATCTCCTCGTTCTTTTTCCTATAGGAAGAAGTGTCGTAACTTTTGGCCAACGATTCTAAAAACGAATAAAAATTATTCGAAAGCTCGATTTTTCGTGAAAATCGAATACTTTATTTATATGAAAATGAGGGCTGACAAAAATCATATACATTGTATATTTGTTAATTTATGTAAGTTTAAAATTATTCGCAAATTTTCGAATCTTGTTTAAACGAATACGATAATGCAATAACGAAGGAGGATGTAATAATGATTTTCATTAACAGAATTTACAATGAACGTGTCTTATCCGCGTTGCTCCCTGAAAAGGCATTAGCGGATTAATCAGCATACGCATTACCTTGAGCCGTCACTTGTAATTTTCACTAGCGGCACTTATCATCACCACGGATCAGCCGTGTTTGCGCCATGTTACTCGCAAGGGCCTCGTTCCTGATGCGACAGTCTTAAAACTTGTTAGTTCAGACTTTGACAAAGCATTATTAGAGTCTCCATTCCTAATCCCCTTCATTTCCATTTAATTCGAAGCGCTTGAACTCGACATGTTAAATAAACGCCGAGTCAATTCCTATATATATACGATGTGAAAATAAAACGTGCGCGAATTTGAAATGGCGTGAGTAAATTTAACTGCATGAACTCTTGAACGTGGATTTAAATTGTATTATAATACGTGTGTATTTATAAAAAAAAAAAAAAAGTTCTTTTAAATTTAAATCTGCATCTTTGAATTTATAAATTTAAATCCCCCTTCTTGAACTTTTTGAACTCGAAAGGGAATACGAAATTTTTAATTTGAATTGAATAATTAAATGTTCGATTGTATTTTTAAACAACTCGATCGAACCAGCGAGCAATTTCTTCCCTTCGAAATTAAATTCGAAGTCAAGAAAGATCAATCCTATTCTCTCTTCCATTTTATTTTTCCATCGACGCTGATTCGTATCTATCAAAAGTGAAGCTACCATAAATGGTCGCACGTAGAGGATGTTTAACATTCTGCCTCCTTCTATCCGTATCCGCGTAACGAATCGGATTAAAATGCAATATTCCAAGTTAAATTGGAGACAGATCGTTACTATATTCGTTTCTGCAACAACTAATGTATTATTCAATATATCCCCTCCGTATCGTTAATTGACATATTTGGTGGAGAATTTTGCCTTGCAACCTTGATGACCTTTCGTGTCCCTCCGTAACGGCCTTGACCAAACCGATACCTCGTTCATGAATCGATACCAAGAATCGTGGTGGAAACGTGTAGAATATTTGTAGAATCCATAACTTCTAACACTCTCTTCGTAAACTTTTATTTGCGTATTAAGAAAATTCCAATGAATAACTTTTACGAATCTTCTCGAAGATCTTTCTTATTTTCTTTTTTTTTTAATTTTGTTTAAACTTTGAAAAACGTAACATAGATATATAAAATTTTAAATGATCGTGCTCCCCTAGATTTCTCCCCAGTTTCGAACTCATATCTCGAACGACAAGATGACATTTTTCACGATGCGGAAGATTATCATTTGATCTGAGCGAAAATTGATTGACAATTCAGAATCGGCACACGTATCCTATATCCTCGAAGAACAGTAGGAGCGAGGAGCGCAATCGCATAATTCCGGCATCGAATCGGTCGTTGAATAATTAACGTTCAAATTAGCCCAAAAACTCGATAGTCATTCGCACACGTCGTTTCTCTAATATCCCGTCCAATCCCATTTTGTGTTTCGCCGCCAAAATTACGTATTATTAGGCTATCCGGAATAATTCGTGCTGGATTTCTTAACGGTGTCGTTTCAATGTGATCAAAGTGATATGAAAATCTACGAACGTAACACAATCTTAATTGAAAATAATCTATATACTATACACTATTAAGAAATAGTAGAAATATATATAAAAAAAAAAAAAAAAAAATACCAGATTCAAAATAATAAGATAAAATTCTTAATCAAAAACTCATCGCTATATGTATATTTTAACCAAAGTTCGTCGATCAATGCGGATAAAAATCGTTCCAAAGTTTTCGCAACGATTCGATATTATATCGAACGTGAGATTATATTATATTAAATCAAGCGTTAACCGAATTATTATAATTCATATGTGAAATCGAGATGTACACACTGGTAGAAAATAATTAATTAAT